TTTTGTTTTTTTTTTTTTTTTTTTTTCTTTTTTTTTTTTTTTTTTTTTAGTTCTGCGAGTGCAGACTGTGGTAAAACTGTTGTTGCACTTCTAGGTTTAAACAAAAATTAAACCTTTAACTGAGGCAGTGCTAATACTGTGACATAACCAAGTTCTGGCCTAACACAGAATCATTATAGAAAATGAATTTTTTTTGTTTTTCTTTTTCTGTTTCTTTTTTCTTTTTTTTTTTCCTCTTTTTTTTTTTTTTTTATACTCTGCACATGTTTCAGGCAATACCTGGTACACAGAAAATGACTAAAGTTATTGGCCAGGCCAAAATAAAACTGCAGAAACAAAAAAACCCAAGAAATCCACCCCGAGCCCCTTCCCACCCTCCCTGTCCCAAGAAGAAGTTATCCTAGTCACTGCCTTTCACATTTTATAAATATTAACTTCTTAAAACCTGCACCTTCCTCTTTGACCACATATTGTCACATTACAAAAAAGAAATGTCAATTAAATACACTGTTAACATTACTAGACTAGATCTGCCCTCTGTTTCAGCCAGTCTGACTCTCTACACCACTTCTCACCTTCTCTTGCCTGCCTCCTGCCCACTCAACAGCATGTTCATGGTAGTCTGTTTTATTTTCCTTTTATTTTCCCCCCTCTCTGTTTCAACACTAACAGACAGAGTCCTTCAAAGCCTAGGAATCCTGGAGCTGAAGGGAAAAGAAGACCTGTAGCTTTCTAGCGTGATCCCAAATCTCAAAGACATTGTAGCACCTGATGGCAATATCTTTACAGCACCAGCTGCGTCGCAGCCTCAGTTGAAAAACAAAAAGAAACCTAACACCAGTGATGCCTGCACACACATTTACACAGAGTGCTGCATTAGTGCAGGTCTGTACTCCAGTTGAAAGTAATTCCGAGTTATGAAGATCTCAGACTCTGGATGTCAGCAATTCCTCGCCAAATCCCACTGCTTCTACCAGCTCAGAAGAGAAGTCCTGCCAAGGGTCATGAAATACACTTGACTGCTTCCACCAGACCGTACGGAGGCAAAGAAAACCTGCAAAGAAGAGACACTGGTAAATTCAACAGGTAGGAAAGCAGTGGCTCCGATTTGCCTTCACTGTCCCTGATATTTACAGTGCAGTTGCAGTGCTGTGCTGGTTCACGCAGGGATGGAGCCGATGTTCTGCATAGCAGCCTGTATGTGGCTGAACAGTGTGGTCAACACAGCGGTGTTTTGGCCACTGGTGAACAACGCTTGCACAGCATGAAGGCTGTTTCTCCAGCCTCTCACCCCGCAAAGGCCAGTGGGCTGGGGATGGTTAAGAGCCTGAGACAGCCGACCCAAACCGACCAAAGGGATGTCGTCCCATGGCATGTATCATCACTTCCCTGAGCTTTTATTCCCTCAGCAATAAAAGCTCAGGGAAAGTGAGAGGATAGGGGGATCATTGTGGTGATGAAATCTGTCTTTCCAAGCAAGCGTGCAGAAGTACTGCTTCCTGGGAAGCAGCTGGACACCTGCCTGCCAAGGGGAGGTTGTGACTGAATTTCTTATTTTGCTTGGCTTACATGTACAGCTTTTGTTGTCCCTATTAAACTGCTGTATCTTGATCTACGAGGCTTTTCACCTTCCTTCTATTTTCTCCTCACCCCATGGGAAAGGGAAGTAAGAGAGAGGCTGGGTGGATGTTTGGCTGCTGGTCAGGGTCAACCCAACCCAAGTAACCAGGTGAAGTACACATTCATCATCTTGGCAACAAACTAGGGGGAGGTGAGGAAGGGGGAATTATACCTTGTCATTGCGCTCACACAAGAACTTGAGTCTTTGTGCCCTTTTGTGCATGAACACACCATCCAAGTGTCCAGTTTCCACTGATCGTATTTCGATAGCTTTTTCTCCCCAGCCCATAATCTGGTTGGATCGGATGTACGCTTTGGAAAGAAAACACAGCACACAGTCCATTAGGACAGGTAGAGGGCAACATGGAGGAACTGAAAAAGCAGAGGAATATCCTGACACACTCTAATTAAAAATATGCATGTGCATATTATAACTACACATATGTTCAGGGTGCTATTTCTGTCCTCAGCACCTTCATGATGCCTAAAAATACCTTCTTTTTTAGAAAAAAATCCCTGTGGCTTTTCTTTGTTAGTTATATACTTCTTCCCTGAGCATTCATGACACAAAGGGAACTTCACAACCTTCAATTAAATGGAAGGAACATCGAGTTTGGCAAAGAGACAAGCTAATTAGGTGTTGACAAGGAGAAAGCAGAACTCGAAGTTTAAATAGACTAAACCAAACCACTCCAGTATGTCCCCAGCACTAGCTCTCTGTCTTACGGTGTTACTTCCCTTCCTTGAAGGAGCTTGTCAGCAAAAACAGAGAAAGAGGAGAGGGAAAGTAAAAAATTTAACAAAAAATGAGCTAGCCTCCTTTAACAGAAGTAATACTTCAAAAACCTGATCTCCTTGAGAAAGCCAACTGGTCTGAAAAGTATTCTGTATATCTCAAAAGAGGTTCTTGTTAAGCTCTCCAAGTGGAAATACTATTATTTGTCATAATGCTTTCCTTTGTGCACAAATAAAGCAAAAAATCAAGCATTTTTCCTTAGAGCGTCACTGAGGAAAAACAGATTAGTAGTAGCATGAGGGAAAAAATCTGTTCTTGATAGCAGTAAAAAAATCAAATAAAGGGGAAAGTCACCAGCATTGTGAAAAGGTATATTCAATAAAGCATTTTGATGGATAGTCTTAGGAACGCTGCCAGAAATAACATATGGACCTTAATGAAGAATAAGCTGTTGCCTGTGATTTGCATGCATACTTAACATAGAAATAAGAGCAATGGTTCTTAGCAAGCAAAATTAAAACATATTTAATTTTGCAGTACTTCCTTTTTATAGATGTTTTTTTCCCTATTAATTTTCTGTGAAATTAAATCAAATGATCTACTGCAGTATAACTTACACCTACAACACAGCATTTGCCATCATACTGGAAATTTATTTATTTTTAAAAATGCCACTAGTGGTAACTGGGCCAAAATAGCTTCTAAAAATTGTCAGATGAGATGTTCAGATGGTGTCAGCTGCCTCAGTGTCATTTACTTCACAGGCACTCCACACCCAAAAGACTCTGCCATTTGCCAGCTGATAAACCCTGCTTGCTTTTAGATCTATTCAAAAGTTAGTCTCCACAGAAGTGAACATGCTGTGCATGAGACTTCTTTAAATTTCCTCTTCTATTACTGTTTACATTGCTTGAATAGGTATCAGCAGTCACCTTCCAATACGCGTGTCCATTCCAAAGCACATACCATGCAATGTGCTTGGCCCAACAAAAGGAAGGTGTGACTGCAGCCCATGCTATGCTCAGTACTGAAATATGGCAGCACAGGTGGCAATAGGGGTCCTGGTCTGTATTTGTGTCCGTAACAAATCTGTGCCCATTTTACTACACTCATTGCTCCCACTTTCAGAAGGGCCTTATTTTGAAAAGGGGAAAATGTGGGAGAATTATCATGCTAGGATAGATACCTGCAGGTGAATTTAAACACATCAAATCAGATATAGAGGTTGTTATCTATATAGAATTACCCATACTAGCATCTTACCCATCTGACACCTTACACAGAATCACAGAATAGTTTGGGTTGGAAGGGACCTTTGAAGGTCACCTAGTCCAACCCCCCTTAAATGAGCAGGGACATCTTCAACTAGATCAGGTTACCCAGAACCACATTCAGCCTGGCCTTGAATGTCTCCAGGGATGGCGCATCTACCACCTCTCTGGGCAACCTGTTCCAGTGTTTAATCTCCCTGATTGTAAGAAGTTTCTTCCTTATATCTAGTCTAAATTTACCTTTGTTTAGTTTAAAACCATTAACCCATGTGCAATCACAACAGGCCCTACTAAGAAGGCTGTCCTATCTTCCTTATTATGCCCCTTTTCAATGAAAAGCCACAATAAGGTCTCCTCAGAGTCTTATCTTCTTCAGGCTGAACAACCCCAACTCTCTCAGCCTTTCCTCATAGGAGAGGTGCTCCATCCCTCTGATCATTTTTGTGGTCCTCCTCTGGAGCCTCTCCAACAGGTCCATGTCTTTCCTGTACTGAGGACTCCAGACCTGGATGCAGTACTCCAGGTAATGACTTTATACTGAAAGGTTTTCACAACTTTGTGGCTGCCTAGCAAATATTCTGCAGCAACCTACAGAGGCCCTGGTGAGTTTTTCACTCCTGAACTTCACATCTTGCTTGTTTGGATTTGGTTCTTAAAAACTCAGCACAAAACAGATCCATATTATTACTCTCCACTTTGTGCAGCTGTTTTTCAGGACTACTACAGCATCGCTGCTTTTGAATATGAAGTTACACCCAATGCACGTCCCTTCTGCCCACATGCACAGTCATGGTCCCTAACGGCACGCTGAGTATGATCCACCAGAGGCACTTACCAACTGAAGTTGGCATTTCTCCCCACTGCAGAACTACATCCTTGGTTATCCTTCCGTACGTGTTGACGTAAACTCCTTCATCCTCGTAGCAGACCAGTAGCTCCATCCCATCCGTGTTTGGGAGAATGATGATTGCGTGAGGTTGGATACTGCTCTGGATCTACAGAGAAAAAAAGAGGAGAGGAAGCCTTTTGTTTTTGGGTGATTTTTGATTTTGGCTGACAGCACATTGGGGATTCATTCACTTTAGGAGTGCTAGCTCTGCTCCCCCACAAGCTAGACATGCACCACAGTGACAACAAAGACCTGTAAACTCTTAGGGCAGAAATCTTCTCGTCTTAAGGCAGACATCTAAAACCAGGAAAGATTAACTTCTCTGTAGGAGTGCCCATTTCTTTCCACGGGCAGAAAGGGAGCCTGGGGCAAGAAGCCCAGACGCAGACCTCAGAAACATGCACTGCAGTGAACAGTGCTTAGGGAGGTGCGTTGCACACTGCAGGCCTACCTGACACCCCTGTGAACAATGAACAATGGAAACCTTGGTATCTAAGGCTACCTTGGCATTTGCCAACCTGCTGAATCTTGTCAGGGGGTTGTTGTGTCATTTTTGTGCTACCACCTTCCCTGCAGCTTCTGCCAGGCATTTGTAACGCCCTCAGCCACTTAGCTGCTACCCCTAAAACAGACCTGAACAGGCAGCTCGCAACCATGGAGACATACCACAAGGAAAGGACAGAAGCACAAGCCCCTTAGCACACGTGGCCACATCTGCTTGGACCCCTCCACCCAATTCACCACTGGCAGTGATCCACAGGGACAGCCTGACATGTTGGTCATCTGAGGGGAGGAAGGGGCAGGAGAGGGTGTGGGGAACCAGAAAGAAGGAGAAACCCCCAACCCTATCAGTAGCTCTTACATGTGTTGGTAGATAAATATCATAGACCGATCCTGAATCCACATCAACAGCATGGAAGCCAGCGCAGGAGCCATAGATCACTTTTAGCCTCTGACCCTCTTCTACGGTGAGATCCACCAGCAATGGCTTATGTACCAATTCTCCAAATGACTGTGAGACAACCATGAGTGAGATTTACTTTACTGCTTAGAACCACAGTAGGTATTATAAAAACATGCTCTAATGCACATAATATTACGGGTTTATTCCTCCAACATCCCTCCGGCCCCCAATCCACCAGACTAGTGAAGCTCACATGTCTCTCATGCACAAGGACAGACTGCTCTGAAACCTCTTGCATTTCAATCACTTAACATTGTAATCTATTTTCTGTGGGGTTTCCTTTAGTTGGTCTGTTTGTTTTTTCAGTAAGAACTGTTTTCCCCAAAGTTCAGGGCAACTTCATACTAGTGTTTACTTCAGTCTGCACAGCCAACAGTAATTGATTGTCTGTAAATCAGTCTGGTAATTATACCAAGCCAGCTAACTTCATTCTTGCAGTGTTCAAAAAAAAAAAAGCAATGCCAAGTATCACTTAATGACTTGTTCTGCTCAGATGAAGATGTTTAGAGTGAGTTCACTTCTCTCTGCCTCATGTTTTATTTACAGAGAGATGAAACAAACAGTTGTGATATCGTGTCATTTTGATTATTAGTTTATGCTCAGTTACAATTTATAACTTTAAGTGTACTGTCTCTAAAGCTAAAAACTCTCCTAAATTAAAATATAATACAAACTTCATGGAGATTTATTAACTAACTTGTAATATGGCTATGACAGAATGTCAGAACATCTCTTTAAAGGGGTAATTGCAAGTGGCTATGAGAAAATCCTATGTATGGCTGAAATATACTGTTACCTTAAAGGCCATAAATTTATGGTATGGCTTTGGTGCCCATGCATAGACTTCCACAGAACTCTTCAATGCAATTACCAAGAACTTGATTCTTTCATATTTTACTGAAATTAAAGAGAACAAAAGAGATTTCAGCAGTAATTCCAAAGTCATTCCAATTATTTCAGGAAAGCAGAAAAAGACAGTATTTCTCCACACTTACGTACATTTGGTTTTAGTAATACTGCATTTTAGGATTGCTAATTCTTTGTAGTTAAGTATTTTGACATGTTTATGCCACCAAAACACCCTTTTCAGTAACTCAACCTGTCACCATGTTTCAAGTTACCTAGTCAGTACACACTTACTTACACTTAGGTTTTTTTCCACATTAGACTGCACTTACTCATCACGACAAGCAAATCAGTTTTCAGACAGGGACATTTCCAATAAAAGAAGGCTATGACTGTGTCAGAGTGTATTGACAGTTTCAGTCACAGCACTGGCAGTGGCATTTTGAGCCGATGGCAAAATTCCCCAGGGAAGGAGGAAAAAAGGAACTGAAATAAAAAGTTAAGAAACAAGTCCATTTCAAAAGCAAAAGGCAGATTTGATAGCGGAGCGCTTTCCTTTGTTCCTAAAGCCTGAGATAATTCATCTGAAAAAAAACCAACAAAGTCCACTGAATTTATCAGAAATAAAGTGTCATTACACAGCTGATCCACAAATGCTCAAATGTGTGTCTGTTGCCACATTCAAAACAGCTGGCTAAATTAACGATCAGAAAAAGCTACTGCTCTCAGGAGGGGACTGATGAAATCTAGAAATGGCCATTCCAGAAGCATTGCTGGATCTGCATTTCCAGCTGCCATATGGATTTGGGAAGGAGCAGATCATGGGACTTCCAAATGTTGAGGTTTGTTAACTGTTTCTAGCACTATTTTAGGGGGAGAAGAAAAGAAAACAACCCAGCATTTAGCTGACACTGAGAAACCTCTGGAGGTTTCTGCAACCTCTTTACCCTGAGTCTTAGGGCAGTATGTCACTTTTTCAAAACAATTTATAACTCCATGCAACTTCACCTTCTGCCATTGTCTCTCCAAACCAAAACTGATTTTGAAACATGGCAAGAGTGAGAATTTCAGACTTGAGAAGAAGACTTCTTTAATAAATACTATTTTAATGTCTTTTAGATATCTTACTACTGTACAAGCCTGCAGTTGTTGTCTCAGGGAAACAAAGCTATTACTTGCTCTCCTTCTACTCTGCAAGAAAGCAAGACTACTGAACTATAAGCATTAAAGGACTTGATGCTTTTTCAACAGACAAAAAGCCTCTCAACGTCCACAGCTGTACTGACTAAAAAACAGAGCTTTTGTTCAGTCTTGTCTACTTTACAAGACTTCTTGGAATTTTTTCTCAGGGAAGAGGGGGTGTCGAACAAAACCACCTTATCTGTGAAAAAGGACCTTTGATAATCCTCATTCTTTGTGCTGGGTGCTATCTGGGAATTCACCCAAATCTGAAGTTTCAAAAGAGCAATTTATCATTTAGAGGAGCCAAAAGTTGCCTGAAGCAACTGAGACCCATAAATACCACTTCACCCTGACGTCCAAGACCCCCGTTGCATCAAAAAGACAAGGAAGTGATCAGTGCCAGCTGCCTCGGCGGCAGCCTCCAGACCACAAGTCCAACTATTGGCAGCTCATCCTTCTTGGGAACTGCAGTGCAGCTGTCAAAGAGGCTTCTCACTACCTGAAGAAGTCTACTGTACATCTGTGGTTCAGAGGGAAGTTCAGTGCCAGGCTGCAGCCCAGGGTAACAAACCCCTCTTCATCTGGAAGAGAATGCTCTTTGTTTCAGATGCTTCCCTGCTGGAAAGCCTCCTTTCAACAGCTGTTAATGTATTGTTAACAGGCCACTTCATTATGCTGCTGACAGCCCGGGGTATGAGACCAGAGGAGTACATTATTAATTGTTTTCGGGGTCAAGCTGCTGGTTCAGC